AGAGCCGGACACTACTCTTGGTGTTTACAATCTTCTACGAAGGACTTGGAGGAGGAACCCGCCTTGCAATGCCGAAGACAATCTGCGCGCCGGACTCATCGTCATTGAAGCCTGGTTCAGGGGCTACTGAGGGAGTCCTGGATTAGGGGGTGTTCGGGTAGCCGGACTATACCTTCAGCCGGACTCCAAGACTATGAAGATACAAGATTGAAGACTTCGTCCCGTGTCCGGATGGGACTTTCCTTGGCGTGGAAGGCAAGCTTGGCGATGCGGATATTCAAGATCTCCTATCATTGTAACCGACTCTGTGTAACCCTAACCCTATCCGGTGTCTATATAAACCGGAGGGTTGTAGTCCGTAGGACATCAACTCCATATACAACGATCATACCATAGGCTAGCTTCTAGGGTTTAGCCTCCTTGATCTCGTGGTAGATCTACTCTTGTACTACCCATATCATCAATATTAATCAAGCAGGAGTAGGGTATTACCTCCATCGAGAGGGCACGAACCTGGGTAAAAACATCGTGTCCCTTGTCTCCTGTTACCATCCGGCCTTGACGCACAGTTCGGGACCCCCTACCCGAGATCCGCCGGTTTTGACACCGACACACGTACTCTCCCAGCTTTTGACAATTTCAGACTTTCCGTCACTTTCTCAGATTCTTCATGGTCAACTCCTGTCCATCAACTAGCACCGATAGACCCAGTCACCAACTTGAATCTGGTACTCATCAACACTGCTTCAGCACCCCTGCACAACTTTTTCTGACCGCATGCCTGACAGCCAGTGCCTTGGTCTGTCCTTGTGTCCCGTGCTTACCGCACGCCTCGCCGCTATCACCGCGTCGAGTCTCTGCTATCCTGATCGAGTCTCCTGGGTAGCTAGCCCACACTGTCTCAATCCCCACTGCAGAGTACCATTGATCATCACCGACCGATGTCGAGTATCACGTCTCCATCAGACCACTGGTACCCAGTCCGATACACGTGTCTCTCGCTATCCCGCTGAAATAGGCTTTGATTCTCCGACATCTTACACCATAGCCCCTCCATCAGCACAGAGTGAAGTTGTCCATTAGACTCCAGCTCCACCTTCAACATGACTCCATGTAGCTGCGCCTTGCTACCCCGCGCCCTGTCGACTTCAAGTTCCCATGTGTAGACTGCCTTGAATCAACCCCGCGCCATAGTCTTGTCGAAGCCGCACAAGCCCTCAGGCCTGCACCACGTGTTTTCACGCCCCAGAAGTCAGCCATCATCGGCATCACGCTCCTATGTCGTCGTCGCTGAAGTCACCGCCGTCTTCTACTTTGACTGACATCCCCGTCGATCCGTCAGACAGTCCAGTCCGACCCAGCCGAAATTATCCGACTGCAACCATGCTCCACCCTGCGTCATGTCCGCCTCGCACATCTTAGTGCATTGCCTGACGCCCTGTGTATGCACGATCCTGCCACGATGCACTCCAGACTCCTTCGAACCTTATGCGAACGTCGTCCCGCGTGCATCCGCAGCTTGTCCGCGCACCTCTCACAACCTAGTGTGCATGTTGTCATCCTTCTTCACGATCCTCGTACGAAGCAAAGAAAATTCCAAACAACAGCATTGCTAGCCTTCCCGCATGCATGTGTACCATAGAGCATAAACGAGTTGCTTTGTTTAAGGGAATCTCCAACCGCGCCCCCAACAGGGCCCCCCAGGCCATTTTTTCGGCGCCGGCGCCGAAAAAACGGCCCAGTCGCGCCCCCAGGACGCCGAAAATCGCCGGTTCGGACCTTTTTTCCGCCCGGCGGTCACAGGCCGAACCCGGCGCGCTGGGGAGCAGTTGGGGGCTCCGGCGCTAGGGAAAAGCACGCCTGGCCCACACCGACAGCGGAAAAGTCAAGGTTTTCTTCCCCCGACTCGCCTCGCACCCCCCGCGCCCTCGGCCACCACTAGCTATATCCCGGCGACGGCCGCCGCCCTACTCCGCTAGATAGCCATTCCCCGCCGGAAAATAGCAGCGCTTCGCCGCGGCAGCCCCTCCCACAGCAGTTGGGCGTTTCCGGCCGCCGTTTCCGGCCGCGGAGGCGCGGTTTAATGGCGGGTACACGCCCACCGAGCGCAAGGTGTTCGGCCTTTTGCCTGCCTTGGCGATGGACTCGGATGAGGAGGAAGAGCTCGCCGCGCTGCTGGAGGAGGAAGCCGCGGCCGACGTCCAGGAAGAAGAGCATCTCATGGTGCTCGCCGCCCTCGGCCAGCTGCTGGCGAGCAATGAAAAGCCGCGGCGAGGTGGCTCGGCGCCGGGCCGGATGAAAGCAAAGAACCGGCATCGTCTCCAAGGCTACTGCATGCTCTACTCCGACTACTTCGCCGATGCTCCACTTCATGGCGAGAGAACATTTCGGCGCCGTTATCGGATGAGCCGAAAGCTCTTCCTCAGGATTGTGAATTCCATTCGGGAGTTCAACAACTACTTCAAGTGCAAGATGGATTGCACTAGCGCTCTTGGATTCACCTCCATCCAGAAGTGCACGACAGCGATGAGGATGCTTGCATATGGAGCTCCTAGTGATTCATTCGACGACTATGGGCGCATGGCCGAGTCCACCAGCATAGAGTGTTTCTACAAGTTCTGTCGGGCAATGATGGCAGTGTTTGGGCCACAATACTTGAGAACACCCAATGCGGAAGACACTGCTCGGATCCTAGCCCAGAATACAACAAGAGGATTTCCTGGGATGCTTGGAAGCATCGACTGTATGCATTGGAAATGGAAGAATTGCCCATTTGGTTGGCAGGGGATGTACAAAGGCACCAAAGGCGGTTGCGTGGTGCTTGAGGCGGTAGCCATACAGGACCTTTGGATTTGGCACTCCTTTTTTGGTATGCCAGGAACTCACAATGACATCAACGTGCTGCAGTGCTCTCCTGTTTTTGCCAAGCTCGTTGAGGGTCATTCTCCTCCGGTGAACTTCGAGATCAATGGGCACCAATACAACAAGGGGTACTGCCTAGCAGATGGCATCTATCCGAGATGGTCGACATTTGTGATGACGATCTCAAACCCTGCGGCAGGAGGCAAGAACGCCTGGTTTGCGAAAGTTCAGGAGGCTTGCAGGAAGGATGTCGAGCGGGCATTTGGTGTGCTCCAATCTCGATTCGCTGTTGTTCGGTACCCCGCTCAGACCTGGTCCAAAGATCAAATGTTGGAGATTATGACTTGCTGTGTCATCTTGCAAAACATGATCATCAAGAGCGAGCAAGAAGACCCAGTGTTTGACACTGAACCATACTACAGGCAGGGTCCTCTAACCGAAGTTGATCACCAGCTACCGGCAACTTGGACTGCCTATCTCAGTATGCGTCAGGAGATCCGAGACCCACAGGTGCATCATCAACTGCAGAAAGATCTGATTGAGCACCTACGGAGGCTCAAGGGGACGCCGTGTGATGAAATACGAGTTTTTATTTGTTGAACTATATAATTTGTATTGAACTATTTGTTGTTGTACTATTTTGTTGAAGTATTTGATTTTTCTGTGATAAAATATGTGATAAGAAATAATTGTGTTGATAATTGAATGTCGAGACACGGCGAAACCACGCCGAATATGGGTCTATTCTCGCCCATATGGGCCTGCAAAGTGGGTCAATTTCAGCGCCTGGGGGCGACGACTGGGCGCAAAACCGCCCCCAGCGCCGATTGTATCGCCAGTTCGCCCCTAGGGAGTGATTTTTATGTGTCCTGGGGGACCAACGGCTGGAGATGCCCTAAGTACACAGAGACTCCATCCACTACACGATATGTGACTAGCCTCCATCTTCTTTGTCTTTTCACGCTTCCAATCATGATTTTGATGACCACGCTCAGTAGTCAATACCCTGTCGCACACATGCACAACTTCGTTGTCCCGTCTTTCGCTTGCTACCAGCGCGGCCTTGCTAGACCTGCTCTTTGCCCAGGCCTCCTGCCATCGGGCAATCGCCTCGGCCTGCTGGCCTGCTCACGTCCGCGCCTGATCTTCCCCATGCACTGTTGCTTCGCCGTTTGATGTCAACGAACAAGTCGATCGATTCGCCGCCACTGCTGCACGCCACCAATCTCAACGAGATCGGTTTCTCTTTTCTTTAACAAATCACGAATGTATTAGCAGATTTTCCTTCGGTTTTGCACAACATCTGCACACGCAACCCATCAACAATCACACGCCTGCACCCAGCCTCGAGCGCCGCACCTCGACCACGCCCTTCGTTGGGCCTTGAACAGCCAGCCGCTACTCCTGGGCTGCACCAGGCTACGCCTTGCTCTCCCTAGCGCTGCTCCGCTGCTGGTCCTTCTGCACGCTTGGGCCTTGGGCCATGCGTTATGCGGCGCTGTTGTACACTGCATCGCGTTGCCTATGTGTTTCATCGATCGCCTGTGCCAGCCAGCCTCCACGCCCGTGACATATCTCGTCGAGAATTGCTGCTGCAAACCGATCCGATCTGCCGCTGCCTCTGTAATCCGATTGCTTCTCGAGCAGATATCCATCGAATCTTTTCATCACCTCACGCGACCAACTCGATTCTTCCGCTCCTTCCTCTAGATCAAACACAACCGTAACCTCCTCGTAACCTTGCTCATGATACCATTTGTTAGAATAAATTCAAGGCGTACCGCCGATCTACCGAGGACCAAGCAATCACACAAGCACGACACCGAGATTTGTTAACAAGGTTCACCGATATGGCTACATCCCCGGGGCCTGACTACGGGCGCTCCTTCCCGTGACACCGTCACAATACCGCACCCCGGCCGCCCAGGCGCCGGCACATGCCGCCGGCTCCCCCCGCGTGTCCGTGCTATTATGTTGGCATAGGTTACATCGTGCGTCTACCTCCGATATATATGAGAGGCCTAGGATACAAGTGTCCTATTAGGACACATCTTCTATCCTGTCTACACACAGTTCAAAACCAAGTCCAATTGTAACCTACCTTTATACAATAATATTCGACACAACTCTAACATTAGCCTTAAGCCAAGCCCACGTCCAAGGTGATACAATGACCATCATAAACATTGCACAAACTTCCAGAAAAAAGCATCCCATAAATAACATGTATGTGATTGCAATGTCGACTCTATTGTACCTCTGTTTGTTGCCAACTGTGAAGAAGAACACAAGGGCAAGGAAAGCTGATACTTGAGAGGTGCACCGAAGTATGATGCCGCTCCTTGTCCGAAGCACTGCAGCCTTTGTATAGACATCACAATACATGATACCTAGTTCAACATCAACCAACTTGGCCAACTTGGCCTGTTGGACTTGATGTGATCGAGCATAGCTCTCGTCCAAGTTGTTGCGCGGAAGCCTTCTGGTATCTGGAAGAGTGTAAATCCAGCAAATAAGTGTCGAACTATTGGAGCTGAATCCAAGGAAAAACTAATAATGCTAGAGTAGCTAGCATCCTCCTCTAGTTCTGGATGAGTCAACCTATTTTCTTCTTCATTACTATTGTAGCCACTGATGTTTTGTAAGTTCCCGTACATGAGAGCGATCGTCCTCTCCCCATACTTAATGATTCCAGCAACAAACATAAAGATGCCCGGAACAAGAATCTGCACATTTCGCCAAGCAGTAGACTTCCAGAAGACATACAAGGCTAGGACCACTTGGACTATCAAATTTAACAAATGCCTCAACCACAAACTGTTGTCCTCCAAGGAAAAAGCAGTGATGGTGTCCTGTCCGCCAAGATGAAGCAGTAGGAAGGGTGCCCAAAAGAAAGCTAGTGGGTGGTTTTCTGTCAGTTGGGTGGTGTTTTCCGCTTGTTTTGAGAGTAAACCAAGGGTGTAAACTGCTACCATGTCTGCCACTAAATAAGCTATCCAAATGATGCCACTAAGAAACTTAGCGCCACGTCGTCGAAGGCTGCCAGTAAAAAAGAGGAATATTTGTAGCATGAAACTGAGAAGCACAAGCAGTTGGATCTCCCATTCATTCAATAGTCGCAACAAGGTCCCCATTGTTAATTGGATTTCGACATTTAGGTGTGATCTTCGTCAAATCTATGAATTTATTTTATTTGCGTATTAACATTTCTTTGTTTATAGTATGTGCTCAACTAGTTTGCGTGCATAGTGAACTCATGCATGGTCCCAAATAAATTGGTGTATGTACATTTTAAGTTAATGCTAGTTATTAACATAAACATATTGAATTGTGGTGGTAAATGCTACCTAAACAGCTGCATAACTACATTAGTCGTACATGTGGTGACATGGACACTATTGATCTACTCCTTCCCTCCATCTATATATGGCCTAATGCGTTTTTCGAGGCTAACTTTGACCAAATGTTAGAGCAATAATATATGACATGCAACTTACACAAAGCACACCGTTAAATTCGTGTGTGAAAGGAGCTTCCAATGATATAATTTTCACATTGTGCATGTCATGTACTATTAATCTTGTCAATAGTCAAAGATGGTCTTAAAAAACGCATTAGGCCCTATATAGATGGAAGGAGGGAGTATGTTTGATAGACATTTTGACAATCGCATTACCAAGATGGTGGTGGATCGCTGGTAGCTGTTTGCTGAACACCCAGGCAACTACACAACTAAGATTTTGGTAACCGATTATCATGTGTTTGGAACTTAATTATCCTACCACTTAAAGAACCAGATAACGGTTATTATAGAAAATAACCACCCTTGTTGCGACCAATGAACAAATAATAATATACAAGAATGTAGCCATATAGGATACAAAGCCTAGACTACTAACTGGCGTATTCGTCGTATCACATATCACATCATGTAGCACATATTATGAACACCACTAAGATCATTGTACCAAATTAGTAATTTACCAATGTCACTCACTTGAGGGATGCCTCATTTGCACATGCAACTATCATTCAACATGGCAATCACCAATTTGCATGGCAACCAAGCAAGCAACCTTAGCTTCTTCCGATTCACTCTGTCAATGAAGCAAACCAATGAATCGCAAAGCTAGCCTAACTAAAAACTACTCTCTCCATTCTGGTTTACAGGCCCCGCACTTATATCTAAGTGGTCTATGTAACCAATGAAATACATATTATAAAAACGGAAATACTAAAAGTTTGATGTCAAATTTTTAAGCATGGTAAAACGAACGGTTTTATGGGAACAACAAAATTTGCCATCTCGGGCGTTTAATTTCCATGCAAAAAGAATCTCACGTTCGATTTAGAACAGTCAATTTTTTTGTGATATAAAAATCATGTTGAGTTTGTTAATTTGCAGACCTAGTGGGTACACGCTGAGCTTCTAAACAGGAAAAGAGGTGGTAGGCGAAAAGTTGGGCCACACAATCTTCCTAGAGGGTCATAATGCAATGATCAACGCAGTTAATGCATGGGGTACTACGCAATAAACCCGGACGGAGGTAGTAATACGTACCTCGTTGTTATTCATCTGGTTGATAGTGGTACCAACGCCAAGCTACCACATGAAAATGGCTTGCTGACTTGACAGTGCAGTTGCAGAGCAAGCTGCTATGACTCCTCCCGGTCGACAAAGGGCATTCTAAGCCCCAACTACGGCGGAGTGGAGCTTGGTTGGAGGGGGACACTAGATGCGTGCCGGGCACTTGGCAAGGAACGACGACACCCAAACAGCCGACCACTTCCTTCCTGCGCATTGGGGGTTGAGAACATGAGATCAAGGAGGACAGGGATGTTGTCGTCGGAGCTCGGGCGACGGTATCACGGCACGCCTCGCCATGTGGGGTAAGTCGGCGAGGAGGGGTCCGGCGAAGGTGGAGAGTGGGGAGTGGGAAGGTTGGAGTGAGGCCGGGGCGCCCTGGGGCGAGAAACAGTGGTGGCGATGGATCGCGTGGGGTGCAGAAGGCTCGCTGCTGGTGCGAAGGGAGATGGTGGCGGATCGCCATGGTTGAGAAAGGAAGTGGCAGCCGGCAGAGCCACATCAAAGTTGGAGACACGGTGCGTGATGGAGGAGAAATCAGCTTGAAGAAACGAGGAGAGAGAGAAGACGTGGCTGTGCTGTGTTGGCGAGAGGATAAGGTCGGGAGATCGGACGGCACCCCACCACTCGTCCCCTTCCGTAGCGTAGAAGCCGACCACCTCCTGCAGGGCTTCCCCGTCGCTGCCCGACTAGAATCCATTTCCTTTCATTATACGGTTTTCTTTTCGATAAAGAATATTTTATTCAATTGAACAATTGATACAACCGCATTGAGAATATCCGGCCTTTGCATAATACGATGCACACAACCAACAAGTCCAATAAATCTATTAAAAATTGTTTTACAACAAAAAATAAATCAGTTCAGTCTAGGGTGGAGCAAATCCTATCTAGAGATTACTCCGCCATCCATGTTGAGGAAAAACCTCACGGCCGTATAGGCCGGCCGTGTAGAGATTACTCCGACATCCATGTTGAGGAAAAACCTCATAGCCGCATGAATAACCAGCACAGAAGATGAAATACATTTATTATTAAAAGTCACATCATTTCTGGTAAGTCACGATGTCCAACATAAGGCAGCCGCCCCTACAAATAGATGTGTAGAAAATTGTTTATCAATACCCCGCAACCAATTACCGAACATGTTATATGCACTATATGGGGATATAGATTTGAAACTACTTGAACTATGGCCCAGACTACACAAGCAAATTTACATGTAAAAAAATAAGTGTTTAATTGACTCGTCATGTTGGCAAAAGACACATGTTTTGCTACCTTCCCAGTTACGTCGTGCCAGATTATCTCTAGTTAAGATCACCCCTCTGTTTAGAAATCAGAGGAATATCTTTACTCTTAGAGGAGTTTTGAGCTTCCACAATTTCTTGGTATCATCTGAAACATCACTATGAACTAATGCATCATACAAAGATTTGACAGAAAAGCTACAGTTCTGATGCAAATTCCATCGAAACTTGTCTGGTTCACCTGACAGCTGAATGGCCTCCAAACGAATGAGTAATTCATTCCATGCTATCAGGCGAGGCCCAAAAAGGCCCCTTTGGAAAGAAATATCAGGGCTTCCTTGTCTTGGAAGTTGTTTGATTGTGATGAATTTATGTATGACAATTATGTACAAGATAGGGTATTGCACCATAAGTGGAGTGGCCCCCAGCCAGGTGTCTTCCCAGAAATGAACCTAAGAACCATCCCTAACTGAGAAAGTGACAAATTGGAAAAAGAATTCCTTAGCTTTCATCACGCCACTCCAAAAAATGCGAATCACCGGGTTTCCAAAGAACTTGAGAAATGGCTTTGGACCCCACAAACTTATTACGAATGATTCCTTGCCACACTCCATCCTCAGTGAGTACTTTGTATACCCATTTACTCTGAAGAGCAATGTTTTTAATCTCAAGATCCTAAATTTCAAGGCCCCCTTGACTTTTAGGTCGGCATAAAACACTCCACCTAGCCAGCCGATATTTCTTGGATTCATTATCACACTAGAAAAATCAGATATAAAATAGTCGAGGTGCTGAAGAATCCCTTTCAGTAAGTGATAGAACCATGTTGCCGAGGACGGAATTGACCAGAATCAACTGTCCCCCATACCACAAGAGTTCGTCCTTCCAACTGGCTAGACATTTTTCGAGTCTTTCTTCCATGTGCTTCCACTTAGCGATAGTTAAACGCCGATACTAATTAGGAATAACTAATTACCGAATAGGGAACTGCCAGAGCTGGCAGCCTAAAATATCACCATACGCAGATACAGACTATACAGCATCGCCGAAACAGAAAAGCTCATGCTTACGGAAATTAATTTTTAGACCAGAGAGCTCCTGAAAAGCACATAAAAGCAACTTGAGTTTCCTTGCTTTATCTAGGTCATGATCCATAAAAAGAATAGTGTCATCCGCATATTGAATAATAGACAAACGTTCTTCAACCAAATGAGGGATCACACCGCTCATCTGCCCGGCCACGTTAGCCCACTGAACAAGGGTAGCTAACATATCACACCTTTCATTATACATGGGTGTTGTGTTCGGCTTGGACTCTAAACAGTCACCGATTAGGGCATCTCCACTCGCAAACCTTCAATATGCGTCAAACCAGAGATAAACATGGGGCTTTGCGGGAGTCCGGGCCGATCCCACACCTGCTTCTGACCATTCTGGCCTATCAAAACCCCTCCTCCCTTGCTCGCGCTCGTTCCCGTCCGGCGCCAGCTACCCGCATTCATGCCGCTGTAAAGCACACTGCTCAACATTCAAGACGGCTTAGGGCGGACGCGACCTCTCACTGCCTCCACCATTGAAGCGTCGCGCCGGCTGAGGGTGCCATCCGCGATGCGTCTTCGGTGTCCACGCCTGCTCAATGCTGGAGATGCTTGACTGGACGGGACGGGATGGATATCTCCGTTCAATGATGTTGTCCATCCGTATGTTACCGTTAAGCAGGCTCGCTGCCGAGAAACCCAC